CCCAGACTAAAACGACATACCGTTGGATGCGCCTTGACGAGTACTATCTACACATATGATTTGATGATAAACGGATGAAAAAAAATAAACCGGCGGTATCCTTTGTGTCCGCAGAAGAAACTACAATCATTTTTATGTGCCACTATAGGACAAGAATCGCGATACCCGTCAACTATTTGTTCAATACATCTCCGAAGACAAACTTCTAAGTAATGCGCTTTAGCTCATTTTGTAGCCTGTGAAATGCTCTATCGAATGATATATAAAGTAGAATGATTAATCAGAAAATAAATGGATATTATAAAGATGAACGATGCTGATTCGCGGGTTTCCTGAGGCGCTACCGAGTATTTCGAATCTTAGACTACTTAGTTACATTTTTCTTTGACTATCTTAAATATCATTTTATAGCCCACGAAATTCTCTCTCCAACCGTGTATAATAGTTGATATTTGTTCTAGGTGAAAAAGGTGGAATGATGTAAGTACTTTGGGTAAAGGTCATTTAACGAGGAAAGAGTCCTTTTTTGTTGAAATGTTTCCAGAAAACATTTGGTAAAATGTATCTAGTAGAATGTTTTGGTAAAGTGTTCCTGCTGAAACGATGTTTAAGATCTAAACATATGTTAGGGTTAATCGCGGATAAAAACAAAAAGGCATCGGATGAGTTAACATAAGACTGATTTGAGAGGGGCCGATTTTGGCTCATAGCGTCGCTCGTCCCTTAATCTTTTCGATAAGCTACCAGTTCTAAAGGCTGAAAAATATTTCGTGCAATATTTGACAGATGTACGCATAGTTGCTTTTCGAACGTTGAATGCTAATATGATAAAAGAACTGTATTGTAGTCAATATGTGACGGGCGAAAGACAATTCAATTAGGACAAAAGTTAAATTGGTAGCATTTAGATAGAGAAAAACACTAAGAACATCATACAAATCAATTTCTGGTACTCACAGCATATTTACTGTTGCTTGTAATGTTCCGTTTTCAATAAAAACTTGATATCCAACAAAAAAAGTGGTATTCAGCATTCCCGATTGATGTTTGAGAGCAGACAGGTTCAGATACCTTCGTCAGAACTTAGTTATTTCATAAATATGCCATGTCTGTTTCACCTCAATGTCCATTGCGCTGTCCTCCATAGAGCGCGTCTGCTGCACTGTAACCGGATTCGGCAATTGTTTTTGAGAAACATCGGAGTCATGAAACGCGCGAATCAAACCAAACTTTTGTCCTACGTCAGCAAACGCTTGAGTAATTACTCTAAGCAGTTTATCGCTGTCTGCACTGGGCAAGCGGAATTCCTCCACTGTTCAGCTACCAAAAAGTGTGACACTCTGTCTGGTCACAGTTATAGCACTCCCTTCATACGATGCAGCAGAAAATATGCGTGTAAGCCAAGAACTGACTTTCGTTTGCAAAAAGACGCCCATAATAACAGCTGAATTAGCACGAGACGAATCCCTCGCCCATAGCCACTCGTCTTCAACCAGTTGTTTTTTGTGTCTTAAGGAAAAGAATAAGATGAAAAAAGTTTTTATAATTTTGAAACTTTCTAGAAAACTAGGGCAACAATAAAAAGCTAGAGGATGAATTTCAGTTTTGTAGATTTGTTTCTCCCTGTTAAATTAGATCGCCGCGAATGCTGCACTCTTCTATATCTCTCAAGTGAATTGCCATCCGCCCGGCACTGCTATATCGAAGACAAAGTCGGCCCTACTTCGTTCACTTCAAGTACTGAAATCTCTGTTTCTAAAGTTTTATTGCATTAGTTATAAGTAAAACAAAATCAGTAAATGACTTATAGCTAAATTACAGTGATGTAGAGTTCCTTCTTTCTCTGACTTTCAGGAAGGCGACACAAACGTTCTCTCTCGGTAACTAACTAACACCACAAGTCTCCGCTTTCAAACTGAAATTTTTGAATACGTTCGTTGTCTGAATCCGAAACATATAAATTCCAATGTGAATCAAACGCCAAACTTTGCGGAAATTTCAACTGTGTGTTAGCACTGCCTGCTATACCTGGTATTCCAGCTATCATTTCTGTAGTATTACCACTTTTACGTTGAATACGATGATTATTCCGATCAGCGATGTACAGATTGCCATACGCGTCAAGAATGACGTCTCTTGGACCGTTTAAATGTTGAGAGCTGTTACCTGGAATAAATGGTACACCGGCAACTACTTCCCCTCGTGCACTGTGATTATTAAATTTCATAACTTGGTGAAACGCTTCATCTACCCAATAGACATTTTCACATTGATCTACGAACAGACCTTCAGGTAAAGCTTGACGAGTATAGATAACAATTTGTTTGTATGTTGAATTCGGATATTTTAATATTCTGCTTCTGTTGTTCGATATATGTTCCGTTACGTAAATATTTCCTTTATTACTGACAAAAATTCCAAGCGGCTGTCCAGATACGTTAGCCAATATGACGCCGCGTTCTATACTGTGTAACTTCCATTTTTGTATCAGACCGTCAGGGGCACTAGTTGGAATGAATATGTTGCCGTCTGAATCGGCGAAGACATCATTTGCTTCTATATCGACCACACCTGTACTACCTACGTTAATACCGGTTTGAAATACTATTACTCTGCGATTACTTTTATCAACTACATAGAGATTATCATATCGATCCATAAATATATCGTGTGGTTTCCAACGCAATCCAAAGTCCAAAAACAAAAGTGTAGTTGCGTTCTCGCTCCACGTTGGTTTTGAACAAGTACCAGACGGTGGACGTAGAAATGGTTCGCAAGAAAGTGGTGTTGTAGTTATTACTTGGATTCCAGCGACCTGTTCCACTGTTAAATTCAATGCAGTAATGTTAATATCGCTTGAGAACGAAACATTACTGAAGTGTGCTCCTTCGAAACTGGTATCAATAAATTTTGATGATAACACTACAGTATCGGTGAATGATGCATTTTGTAAATTGACACTGGTGAAATCAATATTAGCCAATGTAGATCCACTAAAGTTAGCATTTTTCAGGTCAACTTTTGTGAAACTAATCTCATCTAATTTAGCATCATAAAACGTAACATTATTCAAATTAGAGTACCTGAATTTCAAATTATTTAACGTGGTACTATTAAAACTTGCTTCTTTCAGTGTGGAATGTTGAAGCATCACCTGGCTTACTCGAGAGCCGGTGTATGTCGTCGAATCTAAATTCACGTTTTCAAATGAAGTGTTGGACATCAATAAGAGATCGAATCGGATGCCGTTCATATCTAACT